CGCACGCACGCACGCACCAGGGGACATGATGTCTTTTGTATAAGGAAACCAACTCTAAAGGATCAGGGTTCTACTCTTATGAGTCTTTTTACTTAGTGACCTCCTCAAAGGACCTGCTTCCAGTATAGTCACATAAATGTTTTAGGGTTAAAAATGCAAATTGGGGAACAACAAAAAGAAGTCTTTATTATTCTGCTGTTTACATGTGATTTCTTTCAGGAATGAGTTCTGATTATTTTTTAAGGAGGGAGACAGAATCTCCATTTTTGTCCCTGTGCAGCGGCTCCATCATAATGTACCTTCATAGAGTGTATGAAATATAAGGCCTTATTCCTAAACCAGGACCTCCAGTTTGTGTCCAGAAATTCATACTACTCTGGAGAAATCATTTCGTATTTTTCCACTCAGACACATAGTTTCAAATCTCTGGCATTCCAGGATGTCCTAAGACCCTACATGACCTTGTGCTGATTTGACAAACCCAACCCCACATCTCACCAATGTTATAAGAGTAAATTCACTGCCCACATTAAATATAATGACATGATAATTATAAGTTACAACTTAATTGTTTTTTGATTTATAGAAATACAATTCAATATCTATTAATTTTAGGCAAGCAGTTTGCCACTGAGCCACATTCACAGCTCTGATGTCTCTGAATTTTCGGTTTTCCTAGTTGAGAACCAATACTGTTTTCAAGAGTCATCTTTTTATGGGCTCCTTAAAGTCGTTTAAACATTAAGCACAGTACCAGCTGTGTACAGGATGCCCTGGATGACAATTGGCAACCCCAGTCAGCTGCCAGGGCACTGTCAAGATCATGAGGGCCTTTGGTTAGCTTGATCTGTGTTGGTGCAAATGTATATAACAGAGCTCATATTGCTTTGTAAATTACATTCAATCTGATGCAATTCAGAAAAAAAAATGAAAATATGAGAATGAACTGATTTACCTGAAATTGTTACATATACTACACACAATCCCTTCAAAATGAAATAATTTTTAGTCCCAAACTCATGGGACTGAAACATTCCCATGTACCACAAGGTAGCTAATCTATTTGTTTTGTTTTTCTAAAATATCAAAGCAGAATATATTCTGTGAAGCAGCACATTTAGCAGGGAAAGTCTCAAAGAAGCACAAAACAAAACATACTTTATCACTGTCTACTCACTAAAATGTGTTTATTCTTGAGCTCAAGGCTTTGCACTTGATTGGAGTTATAATACTTTTGAGAAAAGTAAAGCCCAAAACTCAAGGAATTATTTATACCTTTGTTTCTTGAGTGATTGCATACACTCACTCTTTTTCTTTATTTTCTATTTTTCAATTTGGTCTCTGTAGAGACTGTCAAAATTTCCCAATGCTGAGTGTATTGCAAGTTATAACAACAGGTATTGAGAAAAGTTATTAATTAGCAATAATTGTGTCTGGAACAAACCTCATTGGCTATGATACTGCAACTAAGAGCAGTATCGTAATAAGAGGATTGTTGTGGTCGAGGGGGCAAGCACATGGTGCAGAGGAAGCAGATCAGTGAGGGTCAGGGCCTTGCTAGGGAAAACTACAGAAAGAATGGCAGAGAGGCATCACAGACAGCCATGACAGTTCCACGGGCTCACCTGCAGGTTTGCTTGTGTTCAATAACTTACAAATGATGAAAGATAAAAAGGTAAAGAAAAATACAGATTAGGGGCAACAGAGTAATGGAACAATACAAAGAAGAAAAACAGTCAGAAGCAAAGGAGAGATAAAACCTAGAGATTAGAGGAGCCCCTAAGAAAACAGCATAACCAGAAGCAAAGCAAACAAATATATGTCAATAAATATATTTTATATACACATATACATGGATTAGGAACAACACACATAATATATCCATGTGTGTATGAGAGAGAGAGAAAAAGAGAAAGCAAGTGAGGCTGAAATGATAATCATCTGACCATATTGGCATTTTACAAATTTCCCAGTTGTACGATTGCCTGACTTTTCCTAAGATGGGCTCTCATATTTCTTGACTGTAAAAATTGATTTAGAAATTGATCCCTAATAAGAACTTCCCACCACCACTCCTCTTCTTTTCCTTACACTACCCCTTTTCTTCTTCCTTCTCCCCCCTTTCTCCCTCTTTTTCTTCATCATCTTCTTTTGGTTTCCTGAGACAAGATCTTACTCTGAATCTTAGGCTGGTTTTAAATTCCGGGCAGTCTTGCTGCCTCAACTGTTCAATTCCTGGGTTTGCAGGCATTCTTCATACTCCTGCTCTCCTTCCTGTCTTGATGGACTTCTCTGAGTAAGGAAGATGATGGGCCAGCATTTTAGAGCCCTTACTGTTTGCTAGCCACTGGGCTGAGCACTTTCATACTCATGTTGGAGGAGGTGCTGTTTCTACTATATCACAGTGAGCATTTTCCCATGAATGCATACTCCCAAGAATGTTATGAAGCTGGTATTTGACCCATAACTGTACACAGCTTTCTTTCATGTGTGCCTTTTCCTCTTAAGAACTGCTTCAGTTTAACTATAATATGATTGCCAGCCTAATGAAAGAGTTCTGAGATGCATTTCAAGGGAGTGTTCTGTCTCTGTGCTGCTCACTCAGCTGGAGAAGCAGCACCTTTCTGCACAGCCTCTGTGACTGCCTCTACCTTAACACAAACCAGAATAGTTTAAGATGGACTTCCCTTAGGTTTCATTATCTCTCTAGGTTATATTAAGAATAAAAAGAAAACCATTTACCTAAATCCAAAAGTAACCCCTGCTATCTGTTTTTAACTTTTGGTTGAATTTAAAGTGGGTCCTTTTCCAGGAAAATCATCAAGCAATATAAACAATATATTATTTTTGATGTTACCAAAGGAAGAATCCTCTGATGTTCTCATTAAATTTGGTTTTCTTCCCATTGTTATCATAGTTTTTTTTTTTCAAAATTGAGTGTGGGGAGTGTCAGATTACCCTATGAGCTTATTTTTTTCTTGATGAATGTTAGACAGATGCATTGTTGAGTTTGTAAGTAACTTATGGGTCTCATTCCTGGTATTTCTGCAATGCTACAGAATGCCCCCACTAGTTTCTTAATGCAATAAAGTTGTAATGCAAGCCATATGAAGAAAGGTATCATGTTTACTCTCTGCAATAGTGTGAAGGGGGCTGGCATCACTCATACACAGGCAGTGTGCCACAGTCTTAAGTAGCCCCACGATCAATAACAATCATTTTTCTCTGGCCTAGATATTGCCATGGTGGGAAATATTTGCATTGTTTACAAATACCCTGATTCTCCCTTTTCCAGGCACATGCTCCCACAAAGTTGAGCATGACTATGTAATTTATTTTGGTCAATAAGATATGAACAGAAATGAGGTATATCCTACCTATGCAGAACTTCTGAGTTGCCATATCCTCTTTCCTACCTTGGAAAAACATGGAACTCATTCCAACAGCTCACTGCAACAGCCTGGTGTCTGAGGACATCTACAGTGATTGGACACACGTGCCATCCATATGGAATAAGCACATGAGCAAGAACTACAGCTTCTGTTGCTATAAACTACCAGCAACTGTTTTTCAAATACTGAAGCATAGCCAGCCTACCTGGGTGGCACAGAAATTAGTATCAAAACAAAAGTGTTCCCAAACAAAACCTGAAAGTTTGATATTGATATTGTGGTAAGTAGTGGGTGACATGGAAGCTGTTCATGGGAATAGGCCATCTCAAAAGTCATATTGTGAAGTGATAAAATATTTAGCAAAACTGACATCTATACCAACTTAGAAGGCCTAATGTGTCCACAGCATTAGAAAAAGTTAGAAAATACAATGTTGACTGCTTTGTGAAAGAATACAAAAATGATGAGCCTCTAAATGTATCACACAATATATAACAGAAATGAAAATCAACAGACTCTAGAAAGTAGGAACTTGGAAAAGCTGGAAAAACTAAGCTGAGGTTTAAATTTCAAAAGGAGGCATAAAATATACTGAAAGGAACTGGCAAATGGCTCCACAGGAGCATGGTACACAGGCCTGATAACTTGGATTTGATTCCCTGAACCCATATAAATGAGGAAGGAGACAACCAATACCACAGAGTTGTCCTTGAACTGCCACACATGCACAATAGCACCGAGTCTGTGCGCGTGCGAGCACGCGCGCGCGCGCACACACACACACACACACACA